GCACAAGAATCTTTGTCCCATTCAACCGGCCGAATTTCATTGACAAAACTCGTACCAAATAAAAGCAAGACTACCGACTCATCACAATCTGCAAACTTAAATATTGGAATATCCCAAAAATTAACTTCTAATTTAAATATATCAAAAACGAAACCATTGACAACATTGCTAAACACTTCGGATTCTACGCATTCGTTGAAGTCGTTGTCGTCCTATACGGGTTCTAATTCATCAGTTTCATCTAATTTGAATAATGTGGAACACAGTTCTTTGAAATCTAGCGCTGGGTTTCAATCCTCAACATTTCAAAAGAACACAATACCACCTTCCCAAGTAGTAAATAGCACAAATACCTTGCGGATACAAGCACCATCGAATCCTCTTATTGCGCCTCCATCCATATTCGCAATTGCAATATTTGCAAAGCTGCAAGATGTGCAGTTACCTTCTAACGACCTTTTCACATTTGAACTTTTCTCAACAGGGTCAAGTAATCAAAAAGGTTTTGCATTTGATCAACCAAGTCCGGATGATATTATTTTAAATGCCCAAAGTAAAAAGGTTTTTGGTGCTTCAAAAGGTGGGTATATATGATTTTGAAATTTAGAAAGCAATATTTATTAGGTTACTTATAAACGTTTCTTTTTTCGGACTAAAAAGGCAAACAAATAGCTACACAGCCATCACCGTTACTACCGCCGGTAAATACAACTAATAATGGAACAAAAAAGCATATAGATAAATCAATTAAGGAGAGCGATGATGATTTGATTGGAATTTTAGAAGAAGAAGATGAGCAATTGAAAATTGATATTAGTGCACTCTCTCTGGCAGAGTTATCAAAAACTCCGTTTAACAAGATCTCAGAACCTATTAATGAACTTGCAAATCAAGGGCCAGTTGTTCCTCATATATCACTAAATGAACAAAAAACTCCAACAAAAACAAATGTAAAGCCTTCAAAACGTATTAATGTCCTTGAAGAATATAAAAAACGCGTTGCTGACAAGCTTTCATTAAACTTAGTAGTGATCGGTAGTCTTGCTTTTATTTGGTACGAGTTTTGTCAATGAAATTCGGCCGGTTGAATGGGACAAAGATTCTTGTGC